GCGGCCCCAAGCCTGAGGGCGCACCCCCCCTCCCCAAAAGAAGGACGGACGCGTAATTATTTGCACAAAGCATTAGAAAATACCGTGATATTTTATTATTAAAAATGCTGCTGAAAAGTTTATACATATGTATCCAGCCATATATATCTTCTATCATTACTTAAGGCAAAATGAAAAACAAAATCGCAAAAGAACCCGAGAAACCAGTGAACCCTGCGTGCCTGTGGACGTTGAGAGTAAAAGCCTACGAAAGTGTTTTTTTTTTTTTTTGATTTTTGACTTGTCGTTTTTTCTCATTTTTTTGGTCTTTTTCCCCTCTTTTTTATAGATAGCAAGTATATTTTATGCTCATAGAACTCTATGAAGATTCTCTAACTTCTTTCCATGTAGAAATAAGGTGTCGTGGAAGGTGTATTAAATCGCTTGTCGTCGTCGTCCTCTGTAAAAGCTAAAGTTATTTCACTGAACAATGACTGTTTTTTTTTTATTTATCCCTTACCCAAATGTCACAAGCCTGATAAGTTACTGTGCATATGATGCAGAACAGAAGTGGGGCCACTCGACGGATACGACGTTCACATCACAGAGACACCGACCCACGCGCTGGCCAGGCCGGGACTGACAGCTGACGTGGGCGGGGCGCGGGTGGGCGAGGAGGGTGAGCTGGGGGGGGAGGACGCTGGGGGGGACGGGGACCCCCGGAGGACCCCTGCCGCCTGCCGGTCGGGTCACGCCTGCGTGTGCAAACCATTGCTCTTGGCCCAAAGCGACAGCTGAGCCGTGTGCAGCGGGCCCTGGGAGAGCTGACCTGTCCCTACGCTTCGTGGGGAGGCCCAGCTGCAGCCCGTGGAGAGGCCACGCGCTTCGGCAAGGCCGCGGGAGGCCGGTGCTGCCCTCCCGCCCCGCACGTGACCTGCCAGCGGCTTCTGCAGCCTGCGAGGGCTTCTGCTGGACACCGCGGGAGCAGACAGCAGCCGGCGGCCGTGGCTTCCCCGTGCCTCGGCCCCCCACCCCCTCAGACACTCGTGCAGGACAATGAGCAGGGAGGTGAGAACACTGGGAGGGAGGAGAGGCGGCCTCGCGCCCGTGCGCACCCGCCGGCGGCCACTTCAGAGCCGGGAGTCCTTCCCGGGGACCCTGGG